TTGTGCATATTTCGCCCTTTTTTAGTGCATATTTGCATGCATATTTTGGCATTTTGATAGTGCATATAATCCGATGTCTACTAATGTCTATATCTTAGGTATCTTTTGAAATTATTGTTAAATAGCGGCCGCCCGCGACTTCGTACGCGTGGATCCCGTTTTACCCCCTTAGGGGTGGAGTTTCGTAAAAACTTTCTTGGCGGATGCCTACGCCATAACATCTACCTGCATGCCAAATTTCAGCCCGATCCGACCAGTGGTTTGGGCTGTGCGTTGATAGATCACTATGTCAGTCAGTCAGTCACCTTTGAATTATATATTTAGAAGAAGAAGAATAGCACTGATTTGTTAATGCCAAGGTGAAAAATAAAAAATCCTAACATATTCCCAATTCGCAGAAAACCTACTGATGCTCGTACATCCCAATCCCAACTAATATTATAAATGCGAAAGTAACTCTGTCTGTCTGTCTGTCTGTCTGTCTGTCTGTCTGTTACGCTTTCCCGCTTAAACCTCGCAACCGATTTTGATGAAATTTGGCATAGAGATAGTTTGAGTCCCGGGAAAGAACATAGGATAGTTTTTATCCCGGTTTTTGAAACAGGGACGCGCGCGATAAAGTTTTTCTGTGACAGACAAAATTCCACGCGGGCGAAGCCGCGGGCGGAAAGCTAGTAATAGATAATTTATAGAGTAGCCACAAAGTTAGTTGTACGGAAACAACGTAATTTCCTTTTGTTTCGCGAGTGATACATCAACGTCTGTCGGAGTTGTCGAATCATCGCCTACTCCCTGGTGCTATATTATAATTGAGGTGGTATTTCCATAAATGATGCTGCTTTGGATCCGCAAAAAATACACAGCGAAATCAAAATACTTTTTTTTGTAGTTAAAAAAAATGTAAGTTTTCTTTGGTTTGGTTAGTGGTATGGCTAGTTTTAAGTCCTCTTAGCTACTTCCATCTTACCTAAGATTTTCGCCATAACAACAATGTTAACAGCATTATTGTGTTCCGGTAGTTGGAGGTAAGATGGCCAGTTACTCTGTGGTTCAGAATTCTGGGTGCAGGTTGCTTCCACCCTCGGCCTGATCATCAAAATTCAAAAAATATTTACAACCCCTCACAATTCAGGTACACAAAGACAATATAAATTAGACCAAGGATTTCTGTGTTCTAACCTAAAGTGTGAGGGGCTGGTTCCTGAAATAGGTTTCAAAAAAGCCTGTGCTATCATCACTTTCCATCAGGTTAGATACAGGCCAAGAACTTCCTCATCATGGATTAACTAGCTTTTGCCCGTAAAATTTAGTTTGTCACAGATCGTCATAAATTATAGCCTATATGTTATTCTGGGTTATAAACAATATGACTGCAAAGTTTCATCAAAATCCGTTCAGTAGTTTTTGCGTGAAAGATTAACAAACATCCAGACATCCAGATATCCTGACATCCAAACTTTCGCATTTATAATATTAAGTAGGATTCGTAGGAAAATAATATGTTTCATAATAAAAACTTATTTCTGACACAAATAGTCGATTCTATTGACCTTTACAAGAATTCGTACAGGTAAGTGCGCTACCGTCGGCCGTCACAATAAATCATCTGAAGTAGTAAGTACTCAGTTCGCAAGATTTCTCTGAAAATTTTAAGTACTCTACACAACTACGATAAATTCAAAGTTCTGATTGCGAGCGTATTTCAAATGTGGGTATCTTTGTTTAAACTTGTTTTGAAGTAATTCAAGACTTTGTTGAAACAAGATTGTATGTGCTGACAATACGACATGGTAAACAATGTACCTTATGACACTGTATTAAGGGTTATTTAGCAACAAAACTCTTTTATCTGTTGTACTGATTGTAATAGGGTGAAATCTACTAAGTTAATAAGTCTTTGAAATTAAGCGAGCTACTTTTAACCCCTTATTCTAAGGCTCAAAGTGAATGCATTCAAAATCCAGCCCAATTTGTAGAAACAAAGCTAAAGCTAATGTTTTATTCATACACGAGTATTTCTCAGAAAGTGTTCTATTCAGATACTAATAAGTAATAAAGTCTTTATTGTATGAACAAAGGTTACAAGAGTTCTTATTTATATTGAAAATATTCTTGTACACTATAAAAACATTTATGAATAAGCCATTTCTCAGTACTTATCGGCAGATTGATTGTGGTGATCCGGCTCGAAGGACCAGGAAAATGTGGTGGACTGCAGTGGACTGTATGCGTTTGTGTGTGTTCGAGAGCGCTGACCGGACGATGATGACTGCCGTTGAGAGCTTGCCCTTACTATGTCAGGCGTAGTAGGTGCTACTTGCAGGAATAAAACCACTATTTCACTTGCTGAGACTTCTCGCGTTTATTATTCGCTTCCTTTTCTCAGTTGGAGCACTTGTTCTCTGAACTGAACAAAACAATACAATTAAACTCAAACTAAACTCCCGGAGCGCCTCGCTCCGTATTTATAGGGTCCCGGGCTATATCCATCCCTTTCTCCCCCGATATTCCTGTCTCTGTCTGTCATGTTCTGGACCATAGTTCTGGAATGTTCGAAGCGAGAGGTCCGATGTTGCCGTCCCATTTCTTTTTCTCTCGAATATTCCAGAAGTGTGTGGAAGAGTAATTGATGTGCAAGCGAGATGACAGATAATGTGAGAAAGAGATGGAATGTGCCGACGTGGTTCCACTCCGATGTCCTCTTTCTCGAAGTGTTGGTGAACCAAGGCTTCCGTTCCATCTTCCACTATTCTGCTGTGGTGCACTAACTTCACTGGATCACTTCTTCCAGTGTTGCATCCATGCAGAACCCATCCAAGGCTGGTCAAAGAGGCAACTGGTTCGGAGGCCTTCCCTCTGCGTAGTCTCCGTGTGACTATCAGCCCCCAATTGTCTTGCCCAATCAGAAGTTTAGGTACTTCTTTATCGTAGACCAACTTCTTCTTAATTTTCTTCAGGTGTTTCCAGTTTTGAAGCATTCCTTCTTCGACACCTTGCTTCGTCAGCTTCAAGTTGTCGATAGTTCTCGCTTCTATGTTGAATTTATTTCTACAATGGACCCCCTTGATCTTCATGTTGATCTTCTGAGAGTTGCTTTTCACCATTCCGTTCCCCCCGACCATCTCGATGGTGATGGCTTCCGGCTTCCCTTGCGCCCCAATCTTCTTCGCCACTGATGAGTCCAGCAGCGTGACGGTGGACCCTTCGTCCAGGGGCGCGAGCACTTTTGCTGTCCCTTTGGGCCCGTAGAGGTTTACCGGCGTCATCTTCAAGTAGGTCCTTCCGCAGCTCGTGACGTGCACCGACGATACAACTCCTTCGGCAGGCTTCTCTTGAGTCTTCGTTGCTGCAGACTTCTCCGAGTGAAGACTGATGTGATGCCACCTCGTGCACTTCTTGCACGGCTGTGCCCGGCATGTGTTTCTAGCATGCTTGAAGCGCAGGCATTTGAAGCACATTCTTGCCTTCTTCGCCATTTCCCATTTTTCGTCTACACTGGATTCCCTGTACCTCTTGCACTCGTACAGCCAGTGATCTTCTCGGCATTCTGGGCACTTCTTTACGTCGGTCTTCTGATCTTCGTAGTATTCTTCCGCTTGTGGGACGTGGTGGATCGGCCTCTTGAACGTGTTCCTCTTCTGGTCCCAGGACACTTCTGGGGGAGCGTAGTCGCTGTTCATATCTGCTTCAACTTCCATGAAGTCATACATAAGTTCGAGCGCTGGTTTTCCCTCTGCCCGGCGCTCACGTTGATACATCAGCCACCGAGATTTCATGGTCGGCGGCATCTTCTCTATTAGACACTCCACGGCCCCCGGTGCACACAAATATTCCGTCTTGCCGAATGCCCTGATGGTGGCCACGGCGTTNTCTCAGTTGGAGCACTTGTTCTCTGAACTGAACAAAACAATACAATTAAACTCAAACTAAACTCCCGGAGCGCCTCGCTCCGTATTTATAGGGTCCCGGGCTATATCCATCCCTTTCTCCCCCGATATTCCTGTCTCTGTCTGTCATGTTCTGGACCATAGTTCTGGAATGTTCGAAGCGAGAGGTCCGATGTTGCCGTCCCATTTCTTTTTCTCTCGAATATTCCAGAAGTGTGTGGAAGAGTAATTGATGTGCAAGCGAGATGACAGATAATGTGAGAAAGAGATGGAATGTAATTTATCTCTAATCGACTCTAATTGATTATTTTACAACATTTTATGACTGTTAACGTTGCTAATCAATTCGAATTAATGAATTAGCGTATTTCTATGGTCGACGTCGCTAACATTGATATTAAATAATTCTTTCAAACTGATTTATTCAAGTAATTTATTATGACATCTTCTCACGTATTTCAATTAGAGCACCCGCCCAAATAGCACCCGCATGAATAGCACCTGGCCTAGTCCACACAGTGCACCTATCGATATCGTTATTCATGGATTTATTTTTACATTTTTGTCCAGGTGCTATTTGGTCGGGTGCTCTAAGTGGAATACGTCCACCTTCTGAGATGAGTTTCAGTACCTCGAAAGTCAAATAATCTGAATTAAATGGAGGGTAGCATTCGCTTCAGGCTAAGTAAAATTAGTATCCAAAGAAACAAACGTTTGACTAAAGATACAATGCTGCTTTGATCCATATTTCATAAAATTTTAAACCTTAAATTATTATTATTTAACATTATTTAGGTAGAGACAATGCAATAAAATATTTGCATAATATGATTTAACAGTTTGATCATTAATTTATAATTAACATCATCAATTAACTTTTATTTGTAGTTTACCTAAAACTGATATGATTCACTTAATTAAGTAGGTAAACATTTATTTATTGATATTTAATTATGTTGTAAATTGCTATTTTTAAGTAGGTGGTCATCAATCAAAAACACTTAGTTAAACATTACTAAAAATACATAATTAAGGTAAATTAGCTTCTAAGACGGAACTGTACTTGACCCAAGCCGGTTTGCACGAAATTCGAAAATATATAAAAACGTATTCATCACCTGCATTGTCACAGTTCACCTCAACACTTCAAGTGAGAAGCACCAGCTTTAAGAAACATACAACAATGAAGACCGTCGCAGTTTTGTGCCTTTGCGCCGCAGTAGTGATGGGACTGCCGTCCGGCGACCGGTCGCTGCCGGCGGTGGAGCACATCGACGAGCGCGACGAGCTCGGACAGTACTCGCTGCGCTACGTCACCGCTGAGGGCACGGTGGTGTCCGAGCGCGGACGCTTCGTCCCCGCGGCGGACGGCGGCCGCGTGATTACTTACGAGGGCGAGTTCACGTTCATCGGCGATGACGGCAAGACCTACGTCACCAAGTACACGGCCGGCGCCGAAGGCGGGTACAAGCCAGAGGGCGACCACCTCCCCGTCGCACCTGAAGTCCCTGATGTACCTCTACCTGAAGCGCCTAAGGCTGAAGAGCCCAAGAAAGATGAACCCGTTGTTTGAAAATCTGCATTTTAGGAATCATTAAACTGATAATTTATTACACTTCCGTTTTTATATTATTCCTTTCTTGTATTCTAATACAAAGGAAATAGCGAAATAACAAACCTATAAGAGTATGATACAATGCTATAAATCTGAATGTACGAAAAAAAATATTGTTGTGTTACGGAAATTGGGAGTAAGATCACCAGATCTTCTGTGGTTCAGAATTCCAAGTAAAGCTCACCTCCACCTTTTTGATGGGATTTCCATTAGGTGAAGACGCAGGCGAAGAGCTTCTACTTTGTGGGTAAAAAATCCTGTGCTATAGAACCTGTTTTCAGCCACAGTTTGAATTCACCAATTTTGTCACCAGGAATGTAAACCCACAGTATAGGATAAGTTTAGTACAAAAATAAGTTGTATTACTTAGCTAAAATAGAGTTAGGCTATTCTCGCCTTATTATTTTCCTGCAATTACATTACAAATTTCAAAATTTCATATACCTACATAACAGATATAATGTTACAAAGATAAAACAACAATGTCACATATTCGTTGTCAGGTTGTTAGAACGCTAGTTGTGTGTGTTCGTATTCCGTTTTGAGTTTTTTAAATGTGAAAATTATATCTATCCTTTCTAAAAAGACATCTGAAAATTCGTTTACATATTATAAAATTGTTTAAATAAATAAATGCATAAGTATTTCTTAAAATTGCCTTCATTCTTAATCTTGTTATAAAACTTTTCAATTACCACACAAATATTCCTTTGTTCGTATACTTTACTTATATCACTTTATACTAGTGTAAATAAATAATTAAACATCTATGTGATCTCAGTTTGACACAGTTTCAGTGAAAATTTGTTTTTTTTACGGACGAAGCAGTTTTTTTTACGGACTCCGCAAATTCATAGAATTCTAAATGCAGTGGCATATTGAAAAAGCAAATAGATGCCATGTTGCATCAGTTAAAATCGCCTAAATACACTGCCAATCAAAGCTGATAAACTAAGAAGTAGGGAACGCCAGCCAGACATACGTCATTTTATAAAAGCTGAAAGTTTGTCAGCTTATGCTCCCAATAAAGGTTAGAATGTTGGTGAATCATGAAGTTCGGGTCATCGTGGCTTTGGAAGCTACCCTATGATTCACCAATTTTTTATTTTATTTATATGCATAACAAGGCAGGTGTTTGACCACAATCGCACCTGATGTTAAGTGGGATGCAATCTAGGATGGTACATATCTGCCCTGTTTTCTAACTTATTGGGGAACATACGCTGACAAACTCAACCACCTCTGTGGTCTAGTGGTAAGACCACTAAAGGTTCGATTCCCAGTGGGGACAGAATTTTCTGTTCGGTTTGGTTGGTGGTAGGACTTGTTCTAAGTCCGCCTGGCTAGCTACTGCCATAACAACAATGTTAACAGCATTGTTGTGTTCCGGCAGCTAGAGGTTAGATAGCCAGTTCCTCCGTGGTTGAGGATTCTGGGCGAAGCTCGCTTCCACCTTCGGCCTGATCATCACTGACCATCAGGTGAGATACAGGCCAAGAGCTTCCTCGTTGTGGATAAAAAAAAACTTTCAGCTTTCATGAAATAACGTAAATGAGGTACTTGATACTTTACAATAACTTACTGAGAACTGAAGGCATTCGTTTAAATTTATTTTGACTGATTTTACACAAGTTGAAGTCACGATTTGTAAAGCTTGAGTATTTGAAACCAGTTTTTTTACACCTAATTAACTTCTAATAGTATTTTTTTGTATTTGGTCTAGTTAATTATTATCAACAAAATAATTATACAAAATGTAGGTACTTTGCACTATCAAATGTCCGTAATCTGTATTTGTTAATATTATAAGAAAAATGATGTAAGCAAGTGAATTATGACCAGATAAACCAAATGTGATGAGAGTTGCATGTAAAAAGCTACCAAAATAAATAAAATATTATTTTAAGATAGACCACTTTGACATTACTCGTACTTTACGGGAACATCACTAGGTAGTAAGGTAAGATTATCCTATTGTGTAAAGCCTGCCATCTGACAGGCTTTACAATTTAGATCTCTAGCAATTGTGTTGAGTGCCGGTGTCTGAAGTTAATGCTCGTTGTATTGTCATTTAGATAACCATTTAGATGGTTAGGTGTACTGCCAGTCCTGCCATGTGTATTTAATAAGTGAAATACTAATTATAGAGAACTCTGGTTAATTAGAGGGGGCTGTGAAGTGAAGTCAATATGAACTGATAACGAAATAATTTGAAAACAAAAGTAATTGTAAAATGATAATTTATTAATTCCTAACATGCAAACTATCAAACAACGAGTTCAGGCATCGTGGTTTCTTCAGTCTTAGGTGCTTCAGTGGGTAAAGTGGATACATCAGGGACTTCGGGCGCGATAGGAAGGTGGTCGCCCTCCGGCTTGTACCCACCCTCGGCGCCGGCGGTGTACTTGGTGACGTAGGTCTTGCCGTCGTCGCCGACGAACGTGAACTCGCCTTCGTATGCGAGCACGCGGCCGCCGTCCGCCGCGGGAACGAAGCGTCCGCGCTCGGACACCACCGTGCCCTCAGCGGTGACGTAGCGCAGCGTGTACTGTCCGAGCTCGTCGCGCTCGTCGATGTGCTCCACCGCCGGCAGCGACCGGTCGCCGGACGGCAGTCCCATCACTACTGCGACGCAAAGGCACAACACTGCGAAGGTCTTCATTGTTGGTTTGATTAGTTGTTGATTTGTTGACGACTACTGATGAAGTGTGCTGATTCGAAGATGAACGATCGTTTTATACTCGCGATTTTGATTTCACATCCTATAGTAACAGGTAGTCACCGTTATGTAGATAATTATTTTAATTAGGGACTAATGTGATACTTCATTAAATTATTTTTTTAGTGATTACAACGACCTAATTTTTTCGCATCAAAGCTATTATTGTACCAATACCATTATAATAGTCTTATTAGGTTGTTAAGTATCATTTACATTTAAATCTCTTATTGCTACTCTTTGTTCAAGTTTACTTGTTCTAGTCATTGAGTTAGTGTGTTTGCAAACTCTAGGATCGTGTTTAATTGGCCAATAGAGTTCAATTATTTCATTCTATTCTTGAATAGCGAGTGTTCTTGAAAATATTTGTTCATTCATACGTATTCAGAAATCAAAACGAACAGAGTTAATATAAAGTACGTATTCAGAAATCAAAACGAACAGAGTTAATAATTCATTTTCATAATACCTTTCAGCAATTTCATTGTCTAAACATTGTCTTCTTAGTAAGTCAAATAGTAAAGCATTAGTTATGTATAACAATAAATTATGAATGTTTAGAAGGTAATAAATTAAGATGCTTTGGTGATTTTATAGAACTAAAAGAATTAGATTATCTACAGATATTTTCAGCGAAAAACTAAGTAGGTTTTTCAAATAAATGACTTTAATTTTGAACTCGTTTAAAAGTACAATCACGCGCTTGTTATGTTAAATACCAGACATTTACCCTCTTGAATAAAAAGAGTAGTGTTTAATGATGGAAATTCCAAAGAAGGCAATTCCAAAGTAGCTCTGGAATTGCTAAGCTTGACCAGACGTTTGTTTCTGGAAAACGTTTATTAAGGTCGACTTTGCAAACTTTTATTTGCCCCGGCTTTGTCGTTTGGGGTCAGGTAGCTCTTACTGTTACATAAGTTTCGGAAGATTAGTCGCAATGGTGAAGAGCTTAGCTAGTACAATAGGGCGAGTTTGGTCCTCGAACAATACTAGCGCTTGTGCATTATACATTTATCTGTTATATTGATGTAAGTCTACAAGAAAATTATTGCAAGTTATTTACAGGTTACACTGTTATTGGTCGCATTATTCAATTACTACAAACCACCCACGTCCAAAAAATTGAGATGACGCCGCGAGCCGCCAGTCTGCTTGTGACCACGGCTGCAGCATAGCAGTACATAATGTAACTCATCAATAAACGTCGCGATAAGACCCGTGTCGTTCTATTTTAGTTCAAATTAGTCCAGTTTGGTAATATAGTCTCTGTGTAAAATGTTCAACGATATAATTTAAAAAACTTTAAATTGTAAGTCTATGTATATCACTTTAACTCTAGTAGAACGTGACATGCTTTATTCAAACCTTTTGTACAAAAACTTCTTAGAATATTCTTTACGTTTTTACAGCTAAACGCTTAGAACTCGACTTTGAAGCACATTTATTTCTGACAACATTAATTGCTTTTTAAATAAGAAACTACCCCATTTTTCTTCAACATAATTTCCTTCAATGAGACACTACCCCATTTTTCTTGTCACTTGACAAGTGACAACTTCAATACTTTCTAGTGCTTAAGTTATGACCTTCAAATGTTCATTAACTTAATCTGTCTACTTGATGGGTCCCAAAAGGGTGCATTTGGTCCAGATTAAATTCTTTGTAGATCCGATTCGAATTAAACTTTTTTAATATCGCTCTCTTATATTGGAAAAGTTCAGGGTTTCCCGCTCAAAAGAAATATTATATTAGATTTTCCAGTTCGGTAAGACGTGTAAATGAAAGGGGGGTATGAATGGTTCCCCCTTTTTGTAGATCGTGGTGTAATTTGCTTTCAGAAGGGGTGAAAGTAGGCACATAATTCTTAGAGACATCGAAAGGAAATCAGAAATACCATACGCAGGTTTCAAATTATAAATACCTAAGTACGTTGGCTAGTATTTAGTAGGAGAATCTGAAACTCTGGACGCAAGGTTCTGGGGTTATATTTATCAGATTTTTTTTACAAGTTACATAGCATTTCCAAATATGTTTCACATGTTTGGAAATGCTATGTAACTTGTGATGTCACAAAAACCAGTTTTGGTTTTACCGTACACCGATGAGATGAGACAAACATTTTAGTCTTTTTAACTTAGATCTATTACATGAGCTTAGAGTTCTTTCAGACGTCATGTAAGTATTCGTAATCTTGACACCTATTTTAACAGTAATATTCTTGATGGTTTTAATTTAAAATTGCTCTACGGAGCAAACTCGATCTTCGAATTCAAAGTGTTACGTGATAATGTCAAGGGTTGTGCCCCTGAAGATGTTACTATATCCCACACAAAAGGAAAATAAGATAAGTACCTTATAACACTACGACAGAAAATCCCAACTTAATATTATAAATGCGAAAGTAACTCTGTCTGTCTGTCTGTCTGTCTGTCTGTCTGTTACGCTTTCCCGCTTAAACCTCGCAACCGATTATGATGAAATTTGGCATAGAGATAGTTTGAGTCCCGGGAAAGAACATAGGATAGTTTTTATCCCGGTTTTTGAAACAGGGACGCGCGCGTTAAAGTTTTTCTGTGACAGACAAAATTCCACGCGGGCGAAGCCGCGGGCGGAAAGCTAGTCTATATATAAAAGCGAAAGGTCACTCATTGACTGACTCACTCATCACGAAATCTCAGAAACTACAAGTGCTAGGAGTCTCAAATAATTGCATGGGGGTTCCTTTTAGAATGTAGTGCTCACTAAGAACGGATTTTACGAAACTCTACCCCTAAGAGGGTAAAACGGGATCCACGCGTACGAAGTCGCGGGCGGTCTCTAATAATAATAATACTATCTATACTATTCAATCTATATCAGTATACTAATATTATAAATGCGAAAGTAACTCTGTCTGTCTGTCTTGCTTTCACGCCTAAACCACTGAACCGATTATGATGAAATTTGGTATAGATATAGTTTGAGTCCCGGGAAAGGACATAGGATAGTTTTTATCCCGGTTTTTGAAACAGGGACGCGCGCTGTTTTGCGCAGTTTTGCTATGACAGAAAAAAATCCACGTGAGCGAAGCCGCGGGCGAGCGATGAGCGAAGCTAGTTTAATATAAAGTACTATTGGTTAAAAGCTATCTTCTACTGATAGAGGTGCTAATTTATGACAATTTAATTAATTTCTGTTTCATGATGGAATCGCACTTCCCCTTTGTCACTTCACTGTCATGATGTCGGCATATTGCACTCGGTGGAGAATTGACAGATCGCTTAATTGCACTACGGAATGCAATTAACGCTGAGGACTAATGGTTCCAACAAAATATAATTATCTACTAGTAGACTTGTACGTAGTTTGACAAGTTATCACACTAATATTATAAGGCGAAAGTTTGTGAGTGTGTATGTTTGTTACTTTTTCACGTCTAAACGGCTGGAGCGATATTGATAAAATTTGGTATGGAGTTAGCTGACACCCTGAAATAACACATAGGCTACGTTTTACCGCGGGTAACACCGTGGGGCACAGCTAGTGTTGAATAAAGTTTTAAAAGAGCATTGTAAACGCGGCCGCAACTGCGTATTACACTTGAAAATTTCGATCGGTTCAGTGTCTAAGTAGCTCAGATGGAAGAGCATTCGCCCGTCAAGCGGAAGGTCGTGGGTTCGATTCCCGCTTTAGGCAGTTCGATTTTTTCAAGTTAAATAATTATAAAACATAATACTGAAGGCTTATTCGTTTTGAAGTCGCCTAACTTTTCTATCTCTACCAAAATCATCTATTTTCAAGGCAAAACCGACAATAAGTTAGCATAAAATGAGCACTAAAACTATTCTAGTTATGACAGTTATAAACCTGCCATTAATTTTGACATGAGAATATCTGGCGATTAACCTCTATATGCGAGCTTAGCAGTGACAATTAAAAGCTTATCAAAGATTTAAGAGAATCGTGAAAATCAGTGGCCGCAGTTAAACTTGATCATAAGACACTGCAAGAAAAAGATTTTTTCCTGGCGGCTTGGTGACTGGAATTGAACCGCCACCGGTGCAGACTGAGACGATGGTGAATTGTCTGCACGTGAAAAAGAGGTTGTCCGGCTTGCAGAAATTTATATAAGTTACCGTTCCTTGTGTGAAATTAGAAAATGTAAATAAAACAGCTCCCTCTCAATTGACACAATTTATTTTTATCTCGTATGCTCCTATATAGTTAACAATTACGATATTATAATAACTACTGCAATAGTGCCAATCTCAAGGGATTCAGGGTCGTTAATTAGGTTCGGTTTGGTGAATATTATTGCCACTACAAATTTCTTAAAACTCAGCCTTAATATTAAAAGACTCTACTAGTTAAGATAACTGCGCGATGTCAGGTCGGAAAGACTCCTACTTGAAGGATGGAAAAGTGGGTACCTTGGAAGCCATGCGGTTATAAGCCGTTACCCTGAACGTTCCTCTCTTCTTCCGGGGTCCAACGGGTCTCGCACACTTTTAGGTTACAAGCAGCGTCCTCCACGGCCTCAAGCGCGCAGTGCCAGATGAAGCTCTTGCATCTCTTTGACAGGTAAGCGTTCAAACTCTTGCAGAGACAGAGGTTTGATGACAAGGAGGAAATGCGAAGAGATCAGCAGTTTAGAAAGGACAAATATTTGATACGAAATGAAGAGAAATTAAAATATATGAAATATCAAAATGTAAAATATGAAATCCCGCATCTGAAACGAAAAATACCAGTGTCAGCATCACATGTGGAACGTGGCATTAGGTTATGAAAAAACCCGCAATGGGAAAGAAATACTTACGAAGACTGTTCGCTAATTTAAGCTTCACTCGCAGTCTTCAGCAACCCAATACCCTCATCCGAATAGGATTTAGGGAATCTCTGAAAGAAACGATCACATGAAATAACCACGTACTGGAATACGAAAAATATCAATCACGAAAAAT